GCCAAGTAGTTTTGAGGTAAAATATCGTTAGATACTTTCTATTCTTAGCTTGTCACGTGTGCGAGTCCTGCTTATAATAAATGGACAGTATTCTAGTAGTGGCCTCACACAGGTTTTGTACAGAATGAGCTTTGCTTCATTGTCGTGAAAGTTCCTGAGTATGCATGCTAAGAGCATTAGTATTGGAACTAGTGTGCTTTCCGTAGTTAAATATTGAAATGACATTGTCTCCCCACTCTACCAGCAGTTGCGATCTTTTAGACGGGTTAGGGTGGACATGTTAATGTGTTTTTCTAGGCTCCTTTTAAAACTGTCAGGCTTTTCACAGGATCTAATCTCAGAGGGTAGCTGGTTCCAAAGTTTGCAATATTTAATGGTGAAAAAGTTAGCTCTAGTTGTGAGTTTATGGGTGTTAACCTTGAGAAGGTAGTCATGGTTGCGTAGTTCATACGATTTAAGATTAGCCCACGTTATGGATGAGTTACTGTTACAGTGCTTTCTTATAACTTTGAATAAGAGAAATAAGTTGCACTTCACTCTCCTTAACCATAAGGGTTCAAAGTCCAGTCGAATACATCTGTCAAGGTACTCTATTTGCTGATCATAGCCTAATATGCGTTTCGTCAGGAATCTTTGGACACTTTCAACTTTTTCCTGTCTGCTGATTTAAAGCTACTGTATAAGTGGGCACAGTATTCAAGTTTGGGGCGAATACATATCTTATATATAGCCAATCTGGCTTCTGTAGTGTAAAAGTTGCGTAGCACAAAGCCGGTGAGACGTTTACAATCAGATGCCACCTCATTTGCATGTTCAGTAAAGGTAAGATCTGAGTATGTTACACCGAGATCTGTGACGGTGTTAGTGTTTGAAACAAGGTCACCGTACATGTATAGACATATGCTAGGTTTCCAACGTCCGAAGTATGTTATCCCAGACTTAGCTGGATTGAACGTTAACTGCCACTTTTCACTCCGCTTACATAGACTATTTAGGTCTTGTTGGATTTTACTAGCAAAATTCATATCATTATAGTCGAAATCATAGACAACTTTGAGGTCATCTGCAAAGAGGTACGGCTCGCCATACTTGATCATAGAGACAGTATCGTTTATGAATACAATGAATAGGGTAGAACCAAGAACGCCACCTTGTATCACACCGGTGGTTATTGGTTTGGATGTAGATAACTGATGGTTGATTTGAGCCAACTCTTCTCTTCCTGCTAGAAAGGAAGTTATCCACTCGAGTAGCCTTCCACTTATTCCATAAGATAGGAGTTTCAGTATGAGTCTCTTATGTGGGACCTTATCAAAAGCTTTCCTAACATCAAGAAATAGTGTTGCTGCCGAACGACCTTTGTCTACACATTCAGTTATGTGGTCGAAATAATCTAACTGGCAAGTGACGCATGACCTCCTAGTTAAGAAACCGTATTGGAAAGGGGATATTAGGTCATTCGAGAGCAAAAACTGAAGAATTTGCTTCTTTACAATCTTTTTCATCACACGTGAAACCACGGAAGTGATGTTGATGGGGCGGTAGTTATCTATGTCCGCTGTAGGTCCGGTTTTGTGAATGGGTACAACGTAAGATTTCTTCCAGCTAATTGGATATGTCCCACCCCTCAGCGAAGTTGAAAATAACTTGAGGAGAAGTAGATTCATGTCATTTCCACCATTTTTTAAGAGGACGGAAGACATTGCATCTGGGTCGAGGGTATTAGTAAGCTTAAGAGTTGCGATGGCTTTATCGATTTCTTGGGCGTTGAAGACTACATCGCTTAAACACTTTTCTGTTTTACGAGGGAAATCAATATCCTCGTCATTTTCTGGAGTGTATAGTTTGGCAAAGTGCGTGCTAAACACCTCACATATATCCTCAGCACTTTCGTGAGTGATGCCGCCTAGGTGTATTATTTTTGGATATGTTGATTTGGAGTTTGTTAGCCTATTTTTGAAGAGTTTGGCTATTTCTCCAGTGTTATGTGGCGACTGAATGGCCCGCATTTCTTTATTCCTAAGACTTAGATTTTTCAAATCATGGATTCTAATGAGGATTGTTTTGATAGCAATTAACGATGATAAGTCGTCATGTCTGTAGTAACTTAATGAATGCTTCCGCAAACTTCTTCTTAATGATATTGGAATAAAATCGTCTTGAGGGATTCTGAATTTAATCAATTTCACAGGCCCTATGACATCATTAACAGACTGTATATTGTCATAGAAATTTTTAAGAACTTGCTCTAGGTAGTCATTATTAGGGTAGGAATCCCAATTAGAGTATCTAATCAAGTCCTGATACAGGTCCCAATCAACATGTGTGTATAGTCTTATAGGTGTCCGACTAACTTCGTTTCTGTGTATAGTTTCTGGAGAAATGTTAAACGAACATGCCACCATTTTATGATCGCTACCTGGGAATTCATGTCCCGCGTGTATCGTAGATGGTGCTACGTTGATCGGGAAAATAAGATCAAGAATATTATCAGACCTAGTTGGTACATTTATATGTTGCGTCCATCCTCCTGTAATGATGGAATTAAGAGGATTGTCATACCTCGAGGGTCCTCGAAGTGTACGCCATCATATATCAGGCAAATTGAAGTCACCTCCAATTATATTATAACTGAAGGGAAGATTGGATGCAACATTAAATATGTTGCTGAGTATGTTATCGTATTCGCAGTTTGATGATCCCGGTAGGTATACACAACCTATAAGGATAGGTTTACTTCTGAGAACTTTTATTTCGACCCACACCGAGTCAGTGAGTTGTGACAGAATAGGGTGACTAAAATGCGTTGCACAAATGGGTTGTTTGACGTATATAAGTGTTCCACCCTCACGACCTGTTACTCTGTCCCCTCAAAAAAGATTGTACCTATCAATCCATAAGCTATCATCCGTAATATCACTAGAGCACCAGGCTTCAGTGATCACGATCAACGACGGATTGCATATAGAGGCTAACGTACATAATGCTAAGTGTTTGTTAAGAACTGATCTAGCATTTATGAGGATGACGGATAGACTTTGACTACTTGGTTTTAGTGCATGGGCGATGTCGTAATAAATGAGAGATGCGTGCTTAGTGTTCAAGGGGAGAGTCAGGATCTCGTGTGTTTAGTGCCTATTACACATGCTACGAGAGGGCTTGCATTGAATGTTGCTTCGTTGCAGTCTCTGTCACCATACTGATCCCACAAACTGCTGCAGGTGGACAAAGGACTGTGGTCAGATCTATCTCCCATGTTCTCCAATTGGAGATGCCTTTGTATATACTAGTCTTCCTATACAGAGAGGTATTTTTTCACCCCTCACTGAAGCATCACATGTGGTTGGTAGCTGGGGGTGAAGTATAAGGTCCCGAACCTACTTGTTCTCACATCTATTTACACCTGGTGTTTTCAGACCTAGTGTTATATTGGCCAAAGTAGTGCTCCAGTTGAGTAAATCATAGTTCCGCCTCATGCCGATCAAATTCGGGCAACCCTTGTTAGTTACTAGACAATCCACCTACGCAGAAGTAGAGATTTAATTTCGGTCTCCATTTATAGCAAATGAGATATGATAATGAATATACTGAACCAAATAGGAAGCATTGAATAAGAAATCCGCGAAACAACCTAAAACAAAAGAGATGTATAGACTTTAGTCAACTATAACAAAATGGAAGGTGAAATGTGGATGAAACTAGTTCACCAATTTGGAAACCAACCTTCTAGTCAAAATAATTATTTAAATTAACAGCCGACGACTGGTAATATCGTGAAAGAGAAGAGAAGTTCGTGAACCTTTATATTTACAATCACGGTGGAGGCAAATGGAGCGGGGAATACCGAATCAGATAAATGGAAGGGCACTCTTGATTCAATAGATAAAGAAGGCCTTACAAACCATAACAAAAGATATATTTCCTATCTTGTCACTCGTCCTATCCTTCCGAATTCCTCATTTACTTACTACGTCTGAGAAGCGGAAGCATTATGAGTTTCTGAGGCAGCACACCCTATATGGTAACCAAGAAAGAAAGCACTGGGAACCACTACTGGTTGATGTAAGTGGTTTACAGTCATTCATCCCAATCAGTCAATAGTATATATTTTTGAAGGCAAGCAGAAACGCCAAATTAACCGCCTGAAGTGCTGGGTACATTTCAGAATCGGCAAATTGAATCGCACTTTACTCAAACGTAGTGGTTTGCTAACGATTGCAAATTAAATCAAAAGGCACGTATGAACTCTGGAAAATGTGTTATGTTTGAAATACTGGAATCAAAGTGTAACAATGACGGGGGACCAAATTTAACCGATTAACAAATATTAATTGCAATTAAACATTCAACTACGGATTAATACTTAACTGTGAGAGAGGTAGCGGATAGAATTATTGCTGACTGAGGACTGTACTCATTACATTGGTCATCAACTACCAAACAATTGCATTAGTTAGGCCTAATGGTAGATTTTCAATGAAGAATGTGGGCAAAATAATTGTCAGTTAGCAGGCGAAGCAGAGCCTCGCCAGCATCAATCCATGAGGAAATTAAGGTTCAACCATCGGTTCTAACTATATTCGTAAAGTGCCAAAATTAACCAATGAATGGTTGACACATGAATTCTGAAAGGTTTCAAGACGAAGTGCAGGAATAAGAGTGGTGTGCACATACGCAACATTAGTGATGATTGTAAACTAAACGATGGCTTCTCTACGCACAGTATCACCGGTTAAAGTCTTATAGCACTTACATATGTGTCCCAAACCTTTCAGTTTTCCTGGTTTCAAACACGTCCAGATACTGATATTTTGTAAATACATTTGATATGTTATATTTAATCACTCCTATTCCCTTGAACTTACTACAAATACAATGAAAAAATACGTCATTTTAATACTTCGGTATATTAAAAATAGTTGAAATGGTTAGAAAACATTCACATACTGATGGAAGGAATCGCCTCTCTAACTACGGAAGAATGAATTTTGAATAAGATGCGGCGCTGTATCTGAATTTTGCGCTACAAAGGTATGGCGTTGGCACTTTCCAACTCGAATGAGACTTCATTTGAGGCTATTAATTTCACATATGGGATAAATAGGCAACAAGAAAGAAATAAAAAGAAAAAACTGAGAAAGAAAGCAGCGCTGAAGAGACGTAGAGAACTTAGAAATCAACCGCAACTTGTAAATGGGGTTTCGGATGACAATAAATCTCATGAAAATGAAGAAAGTGATCCTGAACCAGAAGATGAAATAATAGAATTTGAATATACTGGTCCATTTGAACGGTTTAAGGTAAGTGGGTTCCGGCGTCATAGGTGGTCGTCCACAAAATACTGTTGATTTATTAGTTAACCAGAAATTTAACGTCGTACATCATCAGTTGTGTGATAATCTGTTTTATTTTACTGTACTACGTTTCTGCTACTGCAGCCTGGATGCATATTTAGACTTTGGTGATTACTAATGATTCCGTTTGACTGGTGTCTGTCTTTGCTTTGTTAGGACCTTACCTAAAGCAAAACGTTTTTCTTTGCGTTAGTTAATCTTCCGAGGCAATAACTAGCTTAAAGGCGTGACACCTGTTCTTTGAAAACTTGGATTTCGATAATTATAAGTGATACTCTTGTGGTACAATAGTGGAGTAAATTCTTTCCGTATTGTTTTTTGAGTAGATCAGAAATACGAGGAACTGTTTTCCAGTCGCATTACTTTAAGCTTTACTCACCAGCTTCATTTTACCCTATGAGGTGTTTAAAAGGAGAGTTTAACATAAGTAGCGCTATTCAACAACTGATTTCAGCGTGCTCCGAATATGATGAGGAGCGAAAGCTGTTTAAACGCAAACTAACAAGAAGTCTTCGCAACGACCGTGAAGAGTAGTGGACGACAAAGCGTGAGAGGTGGAAAAAGCATCGGTGACAGGTAAAACCAGACGACTATATGGACTTATCAGGGAAATAGATGGCAAAAGGCAAATGATGAGACAATTTACGAGACAAATGGCGCCATAATTAGCTCAGGATAGGCGACTGAAACGTTTGAAACAAAAATTCTAGGATCAGGTGAACTAGTTTACAGCGACGCCTAACCTACTAAGCACTCAGCACCTGTCTTTGGTCCCTAACTGATATTATAAGAGCTGTCACTCGTCTGAAACGAGGCACATCAGCGGGACATGATGGAATAACTCCAGAGGTGTTTCAGGACGTTGGGGACAGTTCACTGTCTGCGTTAACTAAGGTACTAGGCAGTGTCTGAGAGCAAAGTTAAAGTATCATAGACAAAGCCAAGGTCCTTCATGATATGACCATTAAGAGCCAGTCAGATACAGGGAAGGTCGTTCCAAATGAAATCATATCTGCCTTTCTCGATTTAGAGAAGACAGGTACAGTATTCCATTTATTCTCTAGGTACTTTTTCCGTAAATCTATATTGTTAGGTAGGGTTATGGCTTTTTAGATTAGGGTTTAGGGCTAAAGTGAGGTCAAAAACTGTCAGAAATATCAACAGATGTCAAAGTAACATAACCTAGTCACCTGGATAAATGCATCTGTCGCGCATGGTACGATTTCTCTATAGATCATTTGTATGGTGACTGCGAGAAATTCTTACAACAGATAAGGGATAACTATAAAGTAAAGCATCATGTTCGCAATGTTTTTTAGTGCATTTTCCAATGATTATGCAACTTTGTTACGTCCGAATTTTGATTGGTCGTTCTAGGTCACTGCAGTTTTGGCTATGATAATTTAACTTTGTCCGTCTGAGGATTAGAGATAGCCCCTTCGAACTGGTAAGTAGTTGATTATCCCAATATACAAGAAGGGGGGCAATTCTTCCGGTGATAATCACAAGGGGGTTAGCGTGACCAATATGGTATCTACAGTTTTAGGCTCAATCACGCGTAGACTAAGTGGTGCTCGGGAGGAACAAACACGAGAGAACCAGGCAGTCTTTAGACCGAGAAGAGGGTGTATTGGTCATATCTTCACCCTTCAACAGATTCTAGAACTTACCGGCGTCCAGCGATTGTTATATTTCTTGACCTAAAGACGGCATTGGATTCTATCGACCGAGAGGTACTCTGGCGATGTTTGGCTGTAAAAGGAATGTCAGAAAGATACATTTCACTGATCAAGGCACTCTACTCGAACTCATGAGGACGTACGGCGAGTTGTCTTCGAAGTGGTGACAACTAGTGGTGTCCGACAGGGATGCCCACTGTCCCCATTTCTGTTTAATTTCATCATATATGTACCAATGAACTTAGCCCTAACTGACTTCAGCGACTCAAGGATTGACTTGTTACCACAGTATGAATAATCTCGTTGACTTGGAATATGCAGATGATATAGTCCTGCTCCCAGGGGAAGAGGCCGACAAAATGCAGAGTCTTCTGAACACCTTGAGTTGCAATCTGCTGTTTGGCATGCGATTCGCTCCCGCTAAATGTAAGATGATGCTACTGGATCGGACCACATTCACTCCGGGCTTAAAGATAGGGAGTGGGGTAGTGGCTAAGCGTGTTGACCAATTCCCTTATTTGGCGAGTTGTATCAGGCTGATGGCTAACGAAACCTCAACACTGATACAGAAGGTTCCTTTGGCATACGCCAACTTACGCCATCTCTGGCGTAGACGTGATATCCAGCTATCGACTAAAGAGCGTTTGTACTGCTCAGCAGCAGTCCACTGTGTCCTCCTCTATGGCTGTGAGACATGGCCATTGAAAGTCGAAGACATGAATAGGCCGGCTATGTGTCTTAGACTGTAGGTGTCTGTATTCTATCTGCCGTGTTAAGTGTCATAATAGTGTGACAAATACTGAGGTTAGGCGTTGAGTGCTAGATAAGGAGGGAAAATCAATCGATGAGTTTGTGAATTTACACCGATTGAGATGGTTAGGACATGTGTTATGCATGCATTCCTAGCCAACGCCTTCTTCGACGGGAAATGCTAGCTGAGATAGGATGGTCAGGTTAGAAAAGAGCTATTGGTGGTCAAGCCAAAACATGGCTTTATTAGTCAGTGAAATCCATAACAGTTAGTTTAAGCCAGTCATGTAGGCAGGTAAAGCCTTCTTGGCTGGTTGCAGTTCTCGGGATAATAATAACCAATGGCTGGAGACAATTGACGATGAGGCTCAAAATCATTGTCAATGGCACATGCATTTACTCTCTGCGATTTATAATATCCATTAAAAACCAATTGTTCTTCCATATTGCTATTCTTTTTGCTTCACTTTCCTGTTTATTATCTCTCTTTGATCTTTTCTCTTGCTTTGTGTGCTACATGGAATGTGGCAAGTCGAACTGCTGCACATCTGTGCAAAGTCCTACGTTGAAATCAGTCAGTCAGTCCTTAAGATTAATTTGACATTTGAAAGTATGGAAAAGCTCTGGTTAGTGGTAAGTGTAAATGCTTATTTTGGAAAAATGGATTGGTTAATGGGGCAGGATTTAGTGTAAGTTCGAGGGATATTTGAAGGTATTTTTATTCACAGCGTAATGATAGGAGCTTTTCAACATATATCAACATAAGACTTTGCATAGATATGCATCATTTGATGTTGCTACCCTTCGAGAAGGCCACACTACATTGCTTCAAGGTATTTGTCTTTAGGGGCTCTATGTAACTAGTCATACTTCACGAATGTTAAGTTTTCTTCGGTGATCACTGGTATGTACTATATTTCTGATTATCAGGTAGAAGAATTTTGATCAATGTAGGTCTTTTTCCTTGTTTCGTCTATGCGTCATCTCCTCTTTTCAATCGTCGAAATTGTTGTCTCTTTTACCATTTCTGGTGGTTACTTGTAGTTCTTAGTACGACTTTGAATACTGTTTCTTTTCATTCTGCTCTTTCTTTTCTGTCTTTTGTTACTTAAGTGTAAAACTGTGACAGGATATTGGAGTAAAATTATGTTGGGTCTTGTTTTAAAAGCCTGATACAACTTTTCCCTTTTAAAATAAATATAAACAAAACAAGTATAACATGTAGCGGAATGTGAGCTCATTTTTCGAGTCTACTCTTTAGATATCCTGCATTGTATGGTCACCAGGCGATTCAGTAACTTGAGGGATTGAGAAATGACGTAATTCTGTAAAGATACACAATCCTTCTTACTGTGAGGTTTTTAAAGAAACGCCCCTTTTCTCCATCCTTCAAGTTGCTAAATCGCCTGATGACCATGTGGTTTTGGATATCTAAGGGATTGGTTTAAAATGTGTCCTCATGTTATCGTGTTCCATTTGGTTTGGCTTTATGCAGGTCTTTTGTCAACATCTGTTTTCTTACCTGTGTACTCACTACAGTTGAGTTACATTCAGCATATATCATGTTGTTTTTTAAGATTACTCCTACTATGCAACGATTTTAGCTCTATGCTATTGTACAACTTCATTCGTATTGTGTCTTGTGAACCCTTTATAGTTTCAGCTTGATGTCAGAAATACCTTGAAGAAAATTCTTTAAAAAACTGTTCTGGTGGTTGCAAGCTTATTGTTGTATTTACTTGTGCATTATAAAGTGTCTTTTCGTTGATAGACACTTTTGCGAAGCTCTACAATAATTTTTTTCTTTCAAACTTATAGTGTTGTAAGGTTTTCTTTCTCATGATTTTTATTGGTTGTGAAACTAACTTAACAGGCATTTGAAAATATTTTCTGACGAATTTGTTGCTGTATGAATCATACGTGAGCTACGGTTACATTTTAGCCACAGTCTGGAGTGTTATTACATGGGAATGCATATCTTTTATATGTACTCATCAATAGACAAGATCTTTCCTTTTTGAAACAGTCGGATGATAAACTGCTCATTGAAAGAGGAAGATATGAAGAGGCTAGCTGTCTTAAGCCAAACAGCTTTTTGAGTTCTTTTTCCCGTTTTAAGTGGTATAATATGTTGAATTGTATTGTAGTTATGCGTAGTGTTAGGTAAGGCTGCTGCTGCTGCTGGATTCAACATAGAACCTGGCACCGAAGTGCAGCAGTTCGAGTTGCCACGTTCCAAATAGCACACAAAGGTAGACAGGAAAATGAGAGAAGAGAATCAATAGAATTTAGATAAGTATAAGAGTGAAACAGAATGAGTAATGGTAGAAAGGAATATGAAAGATTACAGAGACTGAATACATCTGCGTAAGCCATTGACAACGATTTCGAGCCATGTCACCTAGTGTCTCCAGCCATTGATTCTTAGAGTCCCAAGCGCGGGCCCCAACCCGGAAGTCTGCATCTCCCTACCTGACTCAGTTTAACTGTCAGGGATTTCATGGATTGATGCCATGTTTTTGTTTGGCCACCGCCTACTCTTTTCCAACCTGCACCTATATCAGCTAGTAATGACCGTCGTGGGAGGCGATGGCTAGGTATGCGCAGCACGTGACCTAGCCATCTCAATCTATGTAACTTCATAGCCTCTTCGATTGATTTTCCCTCTTTACCCAACACTCTACGCCTAACGTCAACATTACTTACCTTATTATACCACCTAACGCGAGAAAGAGATCGTAAACATCTGTGGTCAAAAACAGTCAATCTCTTCATGTCTTCCGCTCTCAATGGCCACGTCTCACCGCCATAGAGAATGACGGAGCGAACTGCTGAGCAGTATACACGTCCCTTGGTTGACAGCCGGATGTCACGCCTACGCCAGAGACGGTGTAAGTTAGCGAAAGCAGACCGAGCTTTCTGGATCCGTGCTGTGATTTCGTCACCAATCAATCCGTTGGTGCTGATACAACTTCCCAAATAGGTGAAGTGGTCAACATGTTCTATCACTTCACTCCCTATCACTAAGCTAGGAGTTGACGTAGTCCAGTCCTGTAGCAGCATCTTACATTTCACAGGGGCGAATCGCATGCCAAACATACGAAGATTGCTGCTCAAGGTGTTCAGAAGACTCTGCATTTTGTCAGCGTCCTCCCCTAACAGGACTATGTCGTCTGCGTATTCTAAGTCTATAATACTATTCCCTGGTAAAAAGTCTATTCCTAAGTCGTTAAGTTCAGTTAAGGATACTTCCATTAGCATATCTATGATGAAGTTAAACAGAAAAGGGGAAAGTGGACATCCTTGACGGACACCACTGGTTGTTATCAATTCAGATGACAATTCCCCATAAGCCCTTAAACAGCTACATGAGTTTGAGTAGAGTGCCTTGATTAGTGCAATGTACTTTCTTGGCAGTCCCTTCGCAGTCAAACATTGCCATAGTACCTCTCGATCCACGGAGTCGAAGGCCGCCTTCAAGTCAAGAAATATGGCAATTGTTGGACGCCTAAAAGTGTGTCTATGTTCTAGGATCTGTCGGAGAGTGAAGATATGATCTATGCACCCTCTACCTGGCCTAAAACCCGCTTGATTTTCCCTCATTTGTTCCTCCCGAGTTCGGCTTAGTCTGTTCGTGATTACTGAGCCTAGGATTTTAGAGACTATGTTCGTTAGGCTGATTCCTCTACGATTATCACATGAGGACTTGTCTCCCTTCTTGAATATTGGTATAATAAGCTAATTAAGGAGCCATTTTTCTCACAAATAGTCTCACTTATGATTTGCCTTCTCCCACCCGTTTCCCTGATGAGTCTAAAGAGTTGCCTAGTGTTGCCTATCGCCGATGCTTTTTCCATCTCTTTCGCCTTTGTCAATCACCATTGTTCACGGTCCTTGCGGAGACTTTTCGTAAGTTTCCTTTTGTGCAGCTTTCGCTCCTCATTGAATTCGGAGCTCGCCGGAATAAGTCTTCTAGCATCTATCAGTTCGGATGAGGCAGTCGAAATCCAATGGTTTTTACTCACCTTTGGATTTACCTTATTCACAGCTTTTACAGCTGTATCTATGGCTGACTGAATATTCTTCCAGGCTTCTTCAGGGTGAGCGCAGCTGTCGAACTCAGATATGTGTTTAGCTAGTTCTTCCTCAAATAGAGACTTAGTTTCCTGATCGAGCTGGGGACGTGATGGGTTTACCGCTAGCTGTTTCCTACGTCCGTTCAGTCGTAAGCACACACGAGCGCGGACCAGTGCGTTATCGGTATCTACACACGTGTTCCAGAAGGAGCGACAATCCCCTACCGACCCACGCCAACGATAGCTTATTGCTATGTGGTCTATTTGTGTCCAGCGTTGGTTTGATGATGGAGGTCGCCAGGTCAGACAGTGTCTCTCCTTGTGTTTGAAGTTAGTGCTTACAAGAAACAAGTGATTATCTGAACAGAACTGTAGGAGACGGTCACCGTTGTCGGTTCGCTGGCACGGAATTCCGTATGTGCCACCGACATTCTTCTCAGATTGACACAATTTCCCTACTTGAGCATTAAAGTCACCAGCTAAAACGACTATATCTGAGTGTTTAGCCTTTCGCAGCAAACTAGACAGCTTTTGGTAGAACTCATCCTTCGTTTCATCCGAACTGCAGTCAGTGGGGGCGTAGGCGGAGATTACGAAAAGGCATCGGCGAGTAGTGCAGTCCTTTCTCCTTTTCACTGATCCGTTCAGACGGACAGCACACATTCGGCTATCTACCGGGATCCAGTCAAGTAATGTCTTTTCTGCCCTAGTACTCAGAACTATCCCAACACCAGCTAATCCTCGTGAGCTAGCCGTCGCATCTCCTGACACCCTCAAGGTGAAATTTGCAGATTCATCCTGTTGGCCAGGTGGGGTTAGGTGAATAACCACACTTGGGTCTTGTATGCGTGTTTCTGAAACACAACATACATCAATGGCTCGGGATGCCAGAGTCTTGGCTAGTGATGCTTGTTGTCCTATTTGGCAAAGTGTCCTAACATTAAATGCCCCTATATGAAATTGGTGACGTGGCTTTAGGAGACTATCGATGGTGGTTTTTTGGCTTCCGTCGTTTTCAGTGCACACAGAGTGAAGAGGAAGTGAAGAGCCATTAAGTAGAGGAGTTGCATTAGTAGAAGGAAGGCAAGATGATAGAGATGAAGATGAAGACAAAGGTGAGTGAGAATTAGAGAGGTTTCGCGTGCACTTCGGATTGTGAGGGCGATTGTTACTTCCCGGCTGCCCACACCGTGGAAGTTGGTTGCGTGACCGCAGAGCCCAAGGGACAACTGCTTGAGGCCGGTCACACACGGCCTGTTTTTGTTTGTTCTTTTTTATTTGGTGTGTCTCAGTAGCGTATTTATCACTTCTGCCCTGTGACACGGCAGCAGAAAGCGCGGTCGTTGTTAATCCGGGCCCCGACCGATCCGGCATGATATTTTGTGTTTTATTTGAAGTCATAGGATTGGATTGGGTAGCTGCTTTTTGTCTAACCACTATCCAAACATCCTCTCTGGCATGGTAGGACCTGCAGGAACATAAGTTCCAGCCAGTATAGCTTGTTGGGTCATTGCGGTGTTGAAGCCCGACCACCACGTCAAGGTAGCAGCTTTCGGTCGGGTGTTAGGTAAGGAAGAGGAGTTAATCAATGACGTTGATAAGCTACAATAATTGAGAGTTTCAGGTGCTGAACTACTGCCTTCCTCAACGAGTAGTGTTAGCTGACGTAGGGTTGGGTTGGGAAAGTGTAAGAGGTGGTGGTCAAACTAAGACGTTTCATCGGCCCATGTAGTCATAGACAATTAATTCGAACTGTGTAGCGGGGGCTGATTGGAAGGTTCGAGTCCTCAGGATTCTAAGCACCAATGGCTGGAGAGTATCGGTGGAATGGCTGAAAATCGTCCTCAGTGATGCAGATGCATTCACTTTTTGTAATCTCCCATATTCATTGGACCCTTATGTTTTTCTATGTTACTATTTCTTTCTCCGGTATATTTCAGCTAGTTGTGGTTCTTTTGAATCCCTTGTTTTCTCTCTTCTATCTTCCTTTGTGTGCTATATGAAGTATAGCGACCTACGTATACTGCTTCACTTCTGTGCTAAGTTCTATATTGATGTTTAATATAGTTCAATGTATTTTTAGAGAGGCACGTTTATCCATATTCTTTTATTATTTTTCCAGTTACCAGATGATGAGGATGATGTTGCTGTTCCTGCTAAACCAGTATCTCATACTGATATAAACTTAAAAGCACGTACTGCAGCACTTTTAGCTGAAGAAGCTTCTGCAAATGAGGCTAGACGTCGTTCTGGAAATCAAGATCCAGATTCAAATAACAATGCACGACTAAAAATCAGCTCTGGAGACTCTGCAAATGGTGGAGTAGAAATATTAAGCAAGAAAAAATTAAAGCGTCTTAATCGTCCAAGTGTTGCTGCACTTAAACAAATGGTAGCACGTCCTGATGTCATTGAAATGTGGGATGTTTGTGCTAAAGATCCACTTTTACTAGCCTATTTGAAGGCTTATCGTAATACTGTACCAGTTCCTAAACATTGGTGTGCGAAAAGAAAGTATTTACAAGGCAAACGTGGTTTTGAGAAACCTCCGTTTCGTTTACCGGAGTTCATTGCTCGCACTGGAATAATGGAAATGAGACAGACTGTACAAGATAAGGTGAGTCCTGTTCAAATTCTCTGCTTGCATAATTTCCAATAATGCTTTCTGTTCCTTCAAAGCTAAGTCTTAATGCCTTATTATTAAACAGGGTTAAATGGAAGGCAGCGTTTTTCTAAAAAAAGACTTTTGATGTTTGATGTTTTTATAAACTTTACTAATTATATACAACAAGTGTTCAAATTAATTATTATCTTGCATCGTACAACTTAACTTCTAGGATGCGGATAAAACACTGAAAACCAAAATGCGAGAGAAAATTCGACCCAAGGTGGGGAAAGTGGATATCGATTATCACAAATTGCATGATGCATTCTTTAAATATCAAACAAAGCCTAAGTTATCAATTCATGGAGATCTTTACTATGAGGGCAAAGAATTCGAAGTAAAATTAAAAGAAAAGAAACCTGGTAATATGTCAGATGAATTACGAAATGCTCTTGGTCTACCGTCTGGTTCTGTAAGTTTTAAAATTTTATCATATATATTGTAACAGTGTAGTAAACTGCTCATGTTCTTCTTTTCTTTTAACAACTTTTATCAAGTAACGGTGGACCTTTAAAAATTTGTGGTTTTCGAGAGTTAAGCTTTTGTGTTCACTGGCAATTGTTGTCAGATTTGGTATTATTATTATTATTATTTCCTTGGGTTCAGAAGGGAACATAGAGTTTCTACAACACATCTCCATTTCACCCTGTCTTCTTCAGCTGACCCCACGATCGCCCATAAGCTTTCATCTTCTTCACACACGATATCCTCCGTGTCACCCTCGGAAGTCCAACTCGTGGTATTCCACTGAAACAGTGGCTTGGCTCGCGATGTCACCCGACGGCCTCTTCAGCATGTGTCTTATCCAACTCCGTTTTCTTCGGGATATTTATTATGCAATAGGTTCTTGATTGGTTCGTTCCCAGAGTTCCTTGTTGCTAATTCTTTCAGGTGGGCCATGTGATCTTCAATATGAGACCATAGAAGGCCAGCGGTTTATAAATGTCTGCAGTATTCTGTAGTCTGATGACTCGTTGACCAAGTTTCTGACTCATATAGGAAAGCTGACTGACTTAACATTAGTGTCGAAAATTCCTAATCTTGTCCTTTATAGTGGTCGGAGCAGATTGCCAAACTAATTTTATAGTGATGAAAGTCTGTGTTGGTCTTTCGACCGTCACTGGTTTTGACACCCCGATCTATGCTGTCATCTTTAGTTGAGGTGATCTGTTCCAAATTTCTCCCGTCCATATAGTGATTGATGCTTATCGTTGTTGGTTGGTTGGTTGTCTTCATCATCTGTATCTATCTTCAAGTGAGTTAGTTTGACAATAATCCTAGTGGTTGATGTGAAATGTTGGGACCTATATATATATATATATATTCATATATATATATATATATATATATATATATATATATATATGAATATAACATAACAAGATAACAGAAATGATAACATAGGGAAACATTGGGGTTTAATGGCTGTGGGAGATCGAACAAAGAGTGGATGTGTCTTCGCCATTCAGAATGATTTTGTGCCAAATCAGCAATTGTCTCCATCCATTTCTTCTTAGAATCCCAAGGCCCCCATCCAGCCAAGCAGTTTACACCTACCTACGTGACTGGTTCAAACTAATTGTTAAAGACGTCATCGACTGATTCCATGCTTTGGTTTGACGACTACTAGCTCTTTTCCAACATGATCCTATGTCACCTAACGTTGCCTCTTGAGGAAGACGATGGCTAGGGCATGTAATACGCATTGCCCAGCCATTTTAATCGATGTAGCTTCACACCCTCATCGATTGAGTTCAAAAGTTGTTGGAAGTACATTTATGAACATATAGATGAGATGATATTCAAATTTTCTCTCTCTCTTTAGGGGTTTCGTTTCATTTCAATAAAGATTTTCTAGCGTTATATTAGAGTCTACCATGTTTGGTGAAAAGCGGATGCTCATCTGTGGTTGGTATTGGTCAGTAGTAGTGATGCTATATTCACCGGTCATGGTATCTTAACCTAGCAGTTGATGGTCAGTAGGCTCAACTGGTTAACTAAATAAAGGCTATGAATGAGTTCTCTCTCTTGTGGTGGCATTGTGAGTGCACACTGCTAAACAGTCCCTAACCAGGACGAAACAGTGAGTATCCAGTATTCTCTCTGACTGATGTTGGCGTTTTGAAGAAATCTAAATCGATACAGATATGATATCGTGATTGTGTCATATTGTTCAAAATCAGTGTACAACACTAACCTGTTTTGCACTTCCCTCATATTTGGAGTTAACTGAAAAGGTAGCAAAGACAGTCACTACTATCTGTAAAACTGATACAGTTGGGTTTTTCGATTTCTACTAATAAAAAGCCATGAAACAGAAATATCACTTGAGCATCTGTTATTACTCTGAACAAAAGAGTAAAGAAGAGTGCCAGAGAAGACAAAAGAAAGTACTATGAAACCATGGCAAGTGAGGCAGAACAAGCTGCAGGCAAAGGGGACCTCGCAACACTACCAAACTACTAGGTACCTATCGGGCAAACGTTTGACACAAATTAAGCCGGTGAAGGATGACAATGGAAAGTCACTCACCAAAGAAGTGGAGCAAAGGAAACACTAGGCTGAACACTTCAAAAGACTCCTAAATCGACCACCACCTACAACGCGCCCAACAATACCAACAACGGAGACTGAGCTACCAGTGAACACCAACCCCCGACGAAATCAGAAGTCCTGAAGGCAATCAAGATGCTAAAAGCTGGAAAAGTAGCAGGACCAGATGGAATCCCAGCAGAAGCATTGAAAACGGACCCGGAGACAACAGCGGACTTGATGACGCCACTACTGGAGAAGGTGTGGAAAGAAGGCAAAGTACCCGAGGATTGGAAGAAAGGATACTTATTCAAACTACCAAAGAAAGGAGACCTAAGTCAATGCAAGAACTGGCGCGGAATTATGCTCCTGTCCATCCCAAGCAAAATACTAAGCCGCATCATCCTGGAGAGAATCAAACATGCCCTGTATGAAAAACTTCGACCGGAACAGGCTGGATTCAGGAGAAATAAGTCATGCATTGATCAGTTCGCCACATTACGGATCATCATTGAGCAAAGCTTAGAGTGGCAGTCACCCCTCTATCTCAACTTCATCGACTTTGAAAAGGTCTTTGACAGCGTCGATCGAGAGGTGATTTGGAAACGTCTTTCTAAAAAGTAATCTAGGTAGGTGAAGAGAGAGGTTGATTACTGAATCTTTGTTCATCAAATCTACACCCAACACATGCAATAGGAATGAATCATCACTCATACCTGAAATATGGAAAATAATACTACCAATCAAATCAAGTGAAAATCAAGTGTTAAACAATGGAACTATATAAATGAATTTAGGAAGTCGTGTGATTAACTTGATATGATTATGAGCAATATATTGTGCTCGAAACGTCATCAGTAAATATTACTGTATAACACTGTGAGACTCTATCAAAATAAAATTTACCCATAATGGAATTACACTCTACCACAGTGCCCAAGTTTTATTCTTATATCAAGGATCAAAGACTTGCACTGCGCGTCATAAAGAGCATCTCAAACAAACTACAGACCTTCATTAACAGTTGTCTTCGCTCAATACTCGAGATCAGACGGCCAGAAAAGATCAGCAACAGAGATCTCTGGGAGCGAACCAACCGAGCAGGAACCGATTGTGAAACAAATAGGCAGGAAGAAATGGAGATGGATTGGCCATACTCTGAGGAAACCATCAAGTGACATCACTAGACAAGCCATTGCTCGAGTGGAATCCGAAAGGGAACTGGCGAGTTGGTCGTCAGTGCAAGGGTGACTTGGAGGAGGTCATGTGAAGAGGAGATGAAAACGTGTGGGCAGACATGGAGCCAGGTGAAGACTCTAGTAGAGAACAGAACGCAATGGAGACGCACGGCTGAAGCCCTATGTTCCTGTAGAAATTATAGGATACAATAATAATAATAATAATTAATGCTGAATCAACTGTGTTCAGAATGACAACTTTGATGATTTATCTTTTTCCTATATAACAAAGTCTAATAAATAATATTTCCTTACTAACCTATACAAATAAAGGGTGCTGAACGATATCCTCCACCATGGTTAATAGCTATGCAACGATATGGTCCACCGCCATCTTATCCAAATTTAAAAATCCCTGGATTGAATGCACCTATACCAGATGGTTGTGCATTTGGTTATCATCCTGGTGGATGGGGTAAACCTCCAGTCGATGAACTTGGACGTCCTGTTTACGGTGATGTATTCGGTAATGGTGGAAATATGGCTGGTGTACCACCGCCACCGCCTCCACCGTCTACTTTTGAAGATGCTGATGAACAGATTGGTAAGTCGTCTAGTGGGTTGAACTTTTAAGATTGTTTATTTTTTTTTCTATCTCGTTTACTTAATGTTTTCTAATCTGTATGAGGCTTTAAACTGAAAAAAACCCATTCGGCTTACATTTTGGTGGATATATTAACATCAGTTGCTATTTAATCATTGTGAAAAGATTTAATCCTTTTGGTTTATGACCTTGATTTTTCAGCCATTTTGTTTCCCCTGGTTCAAATCTCACTTCACCTATTTCAACCTGTGGACAACTGCGTGTGTAGTGTATTATCAGATCTCACACAATAAGTATACCTCATAATCCGTTATTGGTTAATTGACTTCTGACTGACTGATTAATTTTCAACAACACCACTTCGAGTTGCTATACTCCATGTACCACAAAGAAGTAGGCAGTAGACATCAACAGGAGTTCTGAAAGAACTATAGTGAACAGAAATGTGATAGAGAAAGGGTAGTAACATGAGAAAAGCATAAGTGTCTAATGGATATGGTAAGTGACAAAGAATCAATGTGATTTTGAGCCATATGACCAATCGTCTCTACCTATTGATCCTTAGAATCCCGTGGATACCCCAACCTGGGAGCCTACACCTCCATTCGTAGCATAACTTGGCTGTCATTGACTGATTCCGTGTTTTGGTTCGTCCACCACTATCTCTTTCCCAACCTGATCGATCCTGTGTCAGCTAACATTAACCGTTGGGGAAAACGATGACGTAACGATGATGCGTAACAATTGTCCTAACCATGTCAAGCGATGCAGCTTCAAAACCTCATCGATTTACTATCTCTGTTTACCTAATACCACTCGACACCTAACCCCAATATTTCTCACCATATTATGCCATCTAACACGAGAGACAGTAGTCAACACTCTGCACCCTATCTTTAAGCTAGGAGTTGGTGTATTCCAGTACTGCAACATAATCTTACATTTGACAAGAGCATATTGCCTATCTGACTGACTGACTGACTGACTAACTAAATAACTAACTAATTAAATTATCGAGTAGAATAACAAGATATTGAAGAACTGAAATATAAACCTCTCTTTGTCTGAATTGAGTGTCAGTTAATTTCTCAGCTGATTAATATGTATGCAATTAATCTGGCTGGTTTTTGTCATTTGACTGACCGTAAAACTTGAAAAACACAAAAGCGCAGCAGTTCAAGCTTGCCACCCAACTTCCATACAACACACACACGTACATATATAGTGAAAGATAGAAATTTCCAGGAATTATAATGATTGAAAATGTACATGAGAAACAACACTTAAGTGTAGAGAATAATGACAATATAATAAATCCGGGTGATCACAACAAAGAGTAAATACACTGAGGTCATATCACTAACAGTCTCAAACCATTGATTCCTAGTATCCTGACGACCCTAACCAAACAGTCCACACCTCTCCCTACATGGCTGGTTTTAACCAACTGTTGAAGACTCCATGGATTGACGCTGTTTCCCTTTGGTTTGGCTACTACCTAGTTCTTTTCCAATCTAATATCCTATGTTAGCTAACAAGTGTAACACGTACCTTAGATATCTTGAACGATGCAGTTTTGTGACCTCATCAGTTGATTTTCTCCACTTGCCTATGTATGTGTATACTCGGCTATCACGTATACGCTAGAGATGACATAAGTTGACAAGTGCCACACACAAACAAGCCTTTAAGGTGAAGCTAAAATATCATAGCCGAAGTCAAGGTCTGCTAAAGATGTTGACCTTCAGGAACCAATCAGATTTAGGGAGCGCTACAAGTCAAATTATGCCTGCTTCTATGGATTTCTTGAGGGCAGGTACAGTATTCTAATTATTCCCTAGGTACTTTTTTCTGTAAATCTATGCTGTTTGGTCGGGTTTAGAGCTTTAGGATATAGTTATGGTTAGGGGTAGGTTCAAGAAAAATGTCAGAAATACCAATAAATCCCAGAGTATTATGATCTTCAGTCATCTGGATGAATACATTTATCGTGAATAGTCTGATTTCTCTACGGATTTTCGTTAGAGTAACTTGGAGACATTCTTACAACATAATTATTCCTTGTAACATCGTGTTTACAATGTGTTTCAAAGCAATTTTTAACGATTACGCGACGTTTTTCTCATCTGAATTCTGGTTGGTTGTTCATCGCCACTGTGATTTTGGCCATGATAGCTTAACTCACCGCCTTCAGCATCTGTGTTAAGATTTCGTCAACAATTAGTTGAATGGGGCTTCCTAAACCACTTCGCTCCTTATCTTTAAACTTGAACTCAGTGCAGATTATTCCTGTAGCATTATTGATTGCCTATAGTATTCTCCGTGCCTCAATGGCCAACCACGCCTCATGTTGTCCGGGGTTCGATCCTCGGTCAGCACACTCTTTTACCTCGTTAATCCAGTAATAAGACTGGTAAACAGGGAAGGTTGGGTATGAGACTAGCAACCCCATCCTGTAGAAATCAACACGCCTGATACTGAAACTTCAAGCCTCCAACTTGAAGGCGCCCTATGTTCCACTGGGAACGTTAAGGAATAAATAAAAAAGAACTAGTATTCTCCACTTTTTAAATGAAAAAGCCATCTGATTTATGCAATCGATTTCATTCTATTTATTGTTGTTCTTGTTATCTTTTCCCCCAAATCCTCCGACAATTCTCACTGAATAAAATTAGCTCATGGAAATATCACCTATTGGGGTGAATTAGAATCGGATGAAGAGTCTGAAGGTGAAGAAGATGATGATCAAGATATGGATACAGATGGTGAAGAAGGTGATGAAGCAGACCAGGCAACAGCTGCAGCTGCACTCGCCGAGAGTGAAACACAAAAGATGCTTTCCACAATTCCACGACAAGTGGATGCTAGTGGTTTGATTACACCTGCTGGAGGGTAAGTTCATAATTCTTACGGGTTGGTTGTCTTTTTCGCTTACTAATTTATCAGCATTAATTTAATACTTTAATTCATCAGTATTTATAGTAAGTGGTGTGTTACCCTCTTCCGCACCGGAGCATATGCAGATTATGTGAAGGCAGTCATACTACTGATTGATCGGTATGACCAGTTGGTAATCACACAGGGTCAAACAGTAGAGCTTGCGCTACCCCGATCAAAGGGATCTAATCACCTGGACAGGATGTTCCACTCGTTTCGGACAAAGCTCATCTATGGTGTGCCTAGTTCCACTCAACTCAGAAAGCCAACTCAAAAGTGCTATCGGTTCCCAGCCATTATAAACCAGTTGATTTACAAATGCTCCTATAACTTTATCGGACACATCTACCACCACTAAGGAACGAGGGAGCATATCTATATCAAGATATTTAAGGTTTTGGCTTTCACCAGCTCATCTTTCAGCTATGCAATTGCATTAGATGTCTCTTTTGAAAACTGAAACTCTTGGTTTTCCCCTTAATATGCATATTTTGTGCGCAATTAGGAATAAAATATGGATAAGAGTTTATCTACCCCCAAAAAATTTCGGAGTTGTTTGAGAGAGGAATTAGGTGACGGATAATTGCCTGATGGTGTGTTCCTCGGTGTTCGATGCATCGATGCGATCCCAGTGCTGCCAGGAACTCTATTGTTTCTGCTCCAAAAACGCGCCTAATCTGATTCATTCTAATGCCATTGGTCTTCGCGTGTTTTCAAGTCCGGACTAGCAATGAGTAGATCATCCATGTACACTTTGGCAAACAGTGATTCACGCAACAAGTCATTCATAAATCTTTGAAAAGTTTGTGAAGCGTTCCGCAGGTCAAATGGCATTCGCACAATGTGATCTGTAGTTCGAATGGAGTGATAGTGGAATATTGTGATAGTCTGTTTTAGTAAATATCATGTCGCCTCGCAGACTATTTGTAAAGTGTTGAATGTGTGGTACCGGGTATCTGTCTGGTACGGCTTGCTTATTTAGTACTTTGTAGTCACCACAATGGCGCGAACCAGTCTGATTTTTCTTAGGAACCATGCGTGACGATAAAGCCCACTGACTATACAAGGGTTGAATAATTTCCAAGTGAAACATGTAGTCGAATTTAAATTTCAAATCGTCAAAGCTACTCATCAGATCACTGGAGAGATAAGAACAAGGAACTTTACATAAATGCAGTTATTATTTAATTCCACTGGTAATAACGAACGCAGCTCTAGCTTTTCAATGCATATGGTGGGAGTTTCTGCAGTACAAAGAAGTTGGAAACACACTGCCTTTGGCAAATTTTTGCTTACCTTCTAAATAACTCTGAATAATGGATGGGTCAGTTAAGATATAGTGAGAAGTGTTGACGAAGTACTCAATTGTGGCGCTTCTAATTGAACTAGTACCTCCTGTTTGCAGCCATGATGGCTAATGTTCTCTAACATGTTTTCAAAAGAGGCGTATTGAACGACTTATGTACCTACCTCCGCACAAGCAGGTGAACTGATATATGCGCATTGGAGCGGTTATATACAGGAGTTTGTCCTTCATATTGCCTAAAAGCAGTAGGAGGCTAGAGGATATCACTCTTAGTGTTACTGCAGGAAATATCTGCTATAGGGAACTAGAGATTCTTACCTTTAGGATATCTGAAGTCCAGATTCTCATATTCAGTATTTTCTTTGCCGCCGAGCTGGATTCTTGCCTTTTTGGCTTTGATTTCATGTTCTTCTCCACAAAACATTCCGAAAATCAATTTTGAGTCAGAATATCTGTGAAAAATAAGAGCTCTTCCTCTAAACAGTCAATCCTGCAAATTCGTCTGTGATTCATTTTTTAATTCCATTGTGAATTTAGCTGAAAAATGGCAATAATTAAATTCTTGTAAGATACAATTTAAATCAAAATCACTCTGAAGGACTATAAAAGAGTCGTCGACAAAACTTTTGTACAGCAGTAATTTGTCGATTGTTGATTTGAAGATTCCATTTTGCAAACTGGCGATAAAGTAGTGGGTCAAGAAGTGAGCCCATGGTAATTCTGCCTTTCAGTCCGTCGTTAAAAGATTCGCATTTAGTGTGCAGCTCATAATTGATAAGTTCCGCTTATTTTGAGCATTTTTGAAAAAAAATTATCCTAGAGTAGTAGTAGTGCCTATTTCAAAATGCTTATTCTATCGATGAATTCTAAAAATGTGAGCACCTGGTGGTTAGAGAAGAATCATCAATCACCACAGTTGATTTCGATCGATCTAAAGTGCGGTGGCAGGTGATTATCAGGACATCCTGCTGAATCTAGAGACATCTACCACCTGAGAGGGACAGATGAGGTTTCTTAGGAAATCCATACAAAAAGCATTCTAGTACTGCAACTAGAGGTCGAACCCACGACCAGAGACCAATATGTTAAATCATTCGTCTACTTGAGTCGGAATTCACTGACCTTTTCAATTCGTGATAGGTATATAGCACTGACCCCTCAACGAGCGTCTACTTCATTGTGACGTGGTGGTGGACCTAACTGGTCACACGACTTTTCAGTACAGCTTCAGGAAATCCATCTAGTAGTAGCCATGGATGAGAGATGAAGATCCATGCTTAGATTATTATGCGTTTTTCTAGGGATCTGGGTTAATTCCAGTTCGAACAACCTGATCACACACGGACTTGTCATAGGAATATATATGAAATTAGTAAAGAGGTAAGAGGTGAGAAAATATACTTAGGTCAAGTTAAAAAGATATATTGAAGGTCAAAATAACAATGAAGACCACTAGACCAAATAGCAGAGCTAATAGTACGTCTGCTATGGTATCAAAACACAATTTACCAAGGAAGCTTTAATGTGATGACGAATTGTTGCTTTGAACGCATAAAGGAGGTTTAAACTTCCTAATCGCTAGCCAGGGCTTCCACAAACTTTAGGATACGCCCCAAACACGTTTTATAGATAGGTTTAAAAGATCTGTTAACGTCAATTTTATGTCCTGTCTCTATAATATGTTTCGCAATAGAGGAGCTAGGTCTCTTGTTCTCACCATTAGTGGGTTCTGAAGATTCCATTTGTTTCTGAAATAGCCATATAGGAATATGCTCTGCAGCCAGCCCTTACTTGCAGAGATCGATGAGTCCTCCCTATGTATGTATATGTGTCCACACGTACATTCAAATTGGTAAATACAGTGGGAGGATGTGACGTTATTTTTCGCATATTCGAAGGGCTTAGATAGATATATCGGCTTGACATTCTCTATTATTATAATGAATATGTCCTTTTAACTTGACCTAAGTAGTCTATTTTCTCACCTCTTACCTCTTTATCAATTTCATATTAATTCTAGTTGTTAGATTTCTTCGTCACGAGCTAATTAATATCTTTGTTGTATTGTCTGTCGTAAAACGACAACATCAGCAATCAATGTTTAAAACAGCACATTTAAGCGAACAGTATTGTGCTTTCATTCAGGCCTAACTCTGATAAACACAACTTCACAAATAAATATTAAAATATATAAACCCCTCACAGTGATTTGTCAATAAGATGATAAGATTTTGCTTATAAATTACGCAGTCAGTAATAATAATAATAATAATAATAATAATAATAATAATAATAATTCAATCAGTATCTAAGATAAAAAAGTGGAGCCATCTGTGATAACAAGAATGATGAAAAACAGCATGATTAAACGAACAAATGTTCAGGTAGACGTAATAATCGATAAAGGCTAAGTAAAACAAATGGACCGATTAAGTAATGCTAGACTGATTGTAAGGGAAGTAAATAAAATATGGGCAAAGTTAAACTTTAAGCACCACTAACTACCAATCAGCAGATGGCCTCGAAAGCACCAATCACGTGAAGGAGGCATTTTTGTGTATGGATTACACATATATTTATGAGAAAATTGCATAAAAACTGCAGAAAAGTGTTACAGAGGATACGTTCCTCTCACATATGTGATAAAAATAGTTCTCAGTTTTAGATTAGTGTGTCAACAGAGTATAATTCCATTTTGGTTAAAATTTATTTTGATAAAGTTTCATAGTGTTATACAGCAACATTTACTGAGCAATTGATTGTGCTCAAAACGTCATCAGTAAATATTACCATTGTATAACACTGTGAGACTTTATCAGAATAAATTTTGCCCACAATGAAGTTATACTCGACCACCACACTGCACAAGTTCTATTCTTTCTTATATCAACAGAATAATTTAACCACATTCTGTACATGTAATTTCCTAGGTCTTTTAACCCTAATCTTTCCGGCACCTAACCCTAACGTGAAAATATCCTTTAACTAACTGTAATCTAACTCGAACCAAACCTACTTTCGCTTTTGTTAGATTAACGTAACCCTAACTTGTCCTTGGCTTAAAGAGTAACTTAATCTTTCCCAAACCTAAGCTGAAACTTGCCAGATATCCTATTCAATAATATAACACTTCAATGAGCATATTTTATTGATGATAACAACATTATTTGCCGGATTTCACTAACTTGCTCAGTGAGCGTTTAAAGGTCATTGGTGAGGTCGCACTCCATTGTTAGTTAGTGGTGCTTAAAGTTTAACTTGGCCAAAATATGTTGTAATGAAGATGTGATAAGATTAAGAGATCATAAGAGAGTGGGGTTGAAAATATACGTAAGGAGTGGCGGTGATGTCATCAGTTAGTTTGGTCTTAATAGGCCAATAAGGTAGGGATAATGGCTGTATGAACCTCTTTTGAATGCATAATTTAGGCCCAATAGTTTGACATCTGTAAAAGATTATATTTGTAAAATCTCAGCGAGATTGAAATGAGTAATTCCAACGTTTCGTTCGGCAATCTGTGTAATTGGCACAATCATCGTGTTTTCACTCTCCGTTGTCCGTAGCTGTCGAGTCACCTGACAACTCCAGTAGGTCGAATAAAGCAGCTCAATCTTCAGAAAGAAGGCAAAGCAATAAGTCCGACAGGGTGCTTCTACCAAACTCTAATCCTAAACACCATAATTTTGAAAATACGTCTATTCATAAAATTCTAGATACTAACAGTTTGAACAGACATGAAGGCATGATGTTAGCTGATGCATAGGAAATCCTTATTGATAAATATTTAAAAAATTGATATGTATCACTAATTATTAATACTCGGTCAAAATTCTCGACTGTCCATATCTTCTTATGGAGACGTTAAGAAATGTTTTACAACTGTTTACCCACACACATATACACACTCTGTGTTAAAGTGTTTAACAAAGGTAGACCAATATTTGTAAGTTCGAGGTCAAATTTTGATCACAGCTCATAAAATTTTGTTTATTATACTTGTTGAATGACTCATGATTGGACAAAGTTTTTAAAAACAAGTGATTTTCCTTTTATATATAAACCTTTGTTATGTTAATTTCGATTAATTTCCCTGAAGAAGTTCGGACCAGATTGCCGAACGAAACGTTGGAATTACTCATTTCAAATGTCTACTTCTCACTCAGCGCCCAAATATTTTGGAACTATTATGTCAAATCTTGACAACAGTTCATTTGAATTAATAGTTTGAATGCCTATCGCCGCAGTAGACGAATACGAAGTCCACTGGGAAGATTCCGTGGGATACGATGATTCACCACCTTGAAAGCTTTCGTTTTCCCCGCTAAATGACTACTATCAACTAAATGTGAAAAAAAACTGAGTGACGGATGGTTTTTGTCTGTCCTTTTCCCAAATCATTATGAGAGATATTCAGTAACACGTTGTCTTTATCTTTATTCTCTCTCTCTCTCTCCCTCTAGATTAATAACACCTAGTGGTGTATCCAGTGTTGGTGCTGGCTTAGAGACACCACAAAGTATGATTGAATTACGTAAGAAGACTATAGAAGAAGCAATGGAGGATAGTACTGGTTTAGTGACACCATCTACACAATTATATCGTATCCTACCAGAAACTGAAACTAATCTACAACCGAATGCACTTATGGGCAGTACTAAATTATATGATGTGGCTGGTGTTACTGGAGCTCCACGCGGAATTGAAGTAAGTTTATTGTTATGGAATAATTTGTATGTTTTAAGCGTGTGTTATTATTACTATTGTTTCCGTTGGGTTCCGAGTGGGACATAAGGCTTCATCAACAGCACATCTCCTTTTCACCATGTTTTCTGCAATTCTCTTTATCGGGTTCCACAATTGCCCATAAACCCCTATCTCCTCCTTTAACATCTTGATATCACCCTCGGATGCATACCTAACTCGTTTCCCGTTTGGGTTCCAGTGTAGTGATGGGGGCCTGCATTGAGAGCGATGTCACTAGGCGGTCTTCTCTCAGACTGTGTCCGATCTATCTCCATTTTCTTCGACATATTTTTTTGGGCGATGGGTTCTTGGTTGGTTCGTTCGCAGAGTTCCTTGTTGCTAAGCCTTTTCGACCACTCATTTGATCTTCAGTATTGAGCCAGTGAAGACAGCTGTTGGTAAAAGTATGTCTGCATTTCATGACGCGCCAAGTTTTTAACCTACATCATAGAAGGGCTAACTGGTTGGTGTTGAAAATGCGAATTTTTGTCCTTTATGCTGGGGGTGAAGGAGATTTCTAAACTGATATCAGAGTGATAAATGTTTTCCTTTCTTTTCCGATCCAACCTGGTTTCGATACTTTCATCCGTGCTGTCGCCGCCTGTAGTTGAAACGATGATGCCTAGATAAGTGGAAGAAGTGATCTCAAAAATTTCTCCCATTGATGGTGATCGGTGCTTGTTGGTGTTGGTCGGTTGGTTATCTTTGTCACATCCGTCTTCTGTATGTTCACCTGTAGTCCTGTCTTCGCTACCTGCTTCTTCAGTCAGCTTGTTGGTTTTCTCCTGTAAGCCTTCAAGTTTATGACATTGGACATAAATCGCCCTCGAAGTCGAGATCTTGTAGAGTCTTTTTAATCAGTTCGACGTATTCTTGTCTTCTCTCTCTCTCTATCCCCATTTATGGTGTTCTGCATAATTCAGTCCACCACAGTGAGAAATTTCATCGGTGATAGTAGGTGCTTCGTTGAGTTTTCCGTTGCGGATCACTTCTTAAAATAGTGTCTTATTTCAACTTCTTGTCATACTTTCATCTTGTCAGCTGAGGAAAGTCTTCTTATTCTGAAATTCGAATACCTGGAGAATCTTTCTCATCTATCAGGCTATAAACCACAGTTATTTTGCTTAGACTGAAATAAGTGAGGTGGGATTTGAAACTCGCGCCTCCCTATTGGTTGGTTATCTTCATCACCTCCATCTTCTCCTAAAGTCCACGTGAATTCCTGTGCTGTCTTCTCTGACTGCTTCTTCTGCCAACTTGTTGGTTTCCCCCCGTGGATCTTTGAGTTTGGCCTACAATGAAAATATAAGTCATTCTCAAAGTTTATGCTCTTCTAAAGTCTTTTTGTCAATCCGACGTTATATATTATATAACCCGTTCTTCTCGCTTATCACAGTCTATTGTACAACCCATCGAGTCCAACCACAAGATCAGGAATATCATCGTTGGTTACAGGATTTCATCATGAGTTGACATTGGTTAGAGGATCATTAGAAAACTAGGGAGTACTGGACAGCTATTTCGCCGCCTAGTTTGGGACTCTTCATCAGTACGCACCCAACAATACTTGAATATCAATGAGATGCTCACTGGCGACTGGCCCTATTCAGGTAGGTAGTTACCTGGGATTCTAGTGGGAAGTCGTGACCAGTAGGGTGCAGCAGGTGGGGTGTGAGGACAAATACTCGCCGAAGACATTGGCTAGCGGTTGCGCTGTGTCGTGAATTAGAATTCATGCACTGACCATTGGATCAGATCCCAGTGGCTTAATGGTCTACGAGCTCGCTGGCCTTGTCACCAGAAGGTCCTGGGTTCGAGTCCCGGTGGGTCCAGTACTCTCAGCTGGTTTTCCAATGGTTCTTTAACCAATGTCAGCTCATGATGAAATCCTGTAACCAATCAATCAAATCCCTACAAACCAATGCTTGAATATCATCATTGCTGGTAATATTATCATACTTCTGTTGTTTCATTTATCTTTTACATATCAAGTTTTGTTTACAGATTAATCTCCTGTATCTTAATTACACTGTTCCACTTATTTTATTTAATTCATACAAATTCCTTTTTCATTTCCCCTGTCTAGGCTGAAGATCCACGAGAACTTATGCTACGTAAGCGTATATCAGGTACAGAATCTCAACAAAGTAGTGGTGCTAAATCTGGTGGAGGTAGTGTCGCTGGCGGGATTATCTCCGATTCGTCGGGTACTTCAGCATCTAAGAAATATAAAGAATTCAAATTTTAAACGGGATATTTATTCGTTTCACTTCACTTCAACTCACATAAACACACATACACTCATATATTCACGAAATCCTTCTTTGTGTGCACTTGCTGTGTGTGTGTGTGGTGCGTGAGTGTTTGTCTTCATCATTTGAGTATCACTCCTACACAAATAAATACCATACACCTGTTGAAGAAATAAACATTATTGTTATTCATTAACTACTTGCTTAATTTGTAAATATATATAAAATATTTTAAAACTTTTGTGGTAGTTCTGATTTGCATATCTCTGCTGCTACATTCAAGAGTGTGAGTATTCTTGATTCGTCTTTATCGTTACGTTCTCCTTCTAGGTTAGAGAAATAAACAGGACATAGGTTATTGTGTCACCATTCTTGATGGTAGGTTCATCTAAGGAGTACCTTAAGCCTCAACGGGTTGATCTCCGACGAAATCTCAGCATGGATACAGACGGCTAGTTTCGCATATGCCAGTTTACGCCGTCTCTGGCGTAGACGTGATATCCGGCTATCGACCAAAGGGCGTGTGTACTGCTCAGCAGTCCGCTCCGTCCTCCTTTATGGCTGTGAGACCTGGCCATTGAGAGTGGAAGACATGAAAAGCCTAGCTAGCTGTCTTTGATCATAGGTGCCTGCGCTCTATCTTCCGCGTGAAGTGATATAATAAGGTGAGCAATATTGAGGTTAGGCGTCGAGTGCTAGGTAAGGAGGGGAAATCAATCGACGAGGCTATGAAATTACACCGATTGAGATGGTTAGGACATGTGTTACGTATGCCTAGTCATCGCCTTCCTCGACTGACGGGCAATGTTAGCTGACATAGGATCAGGCTGGAAAAGAGCTAGCGGTGGTCAAACGAAAACATGGCTACACCAGTCAATGAAATCCACAAGTTAGTCTAAACCAGCCAGGTAGGAAGGTGTAGACTTCCTGGTTGGGGTCCTCGGGACGGTAAAAACCAATGGTTGGAAACAATTGGTGATATGGCTCAAAATCGTCCTCAGTGGCGCAGATGCATCCACTCCTTGTGACCTATGATTTCCAATGAAACTGTTTTGTTCTTCGTTATTACTATACCTTTGTCTCACACCTCTGTTTACTGTCTATATTATGCATTTCTTCTACTTTCTTCTCTTGCTTTGTGTGCTACAAGGAGGGAGTGTGGCGATTTGAACTGCTGCATATCGGTGCAAAGTTCTATGTCGGAAACAGACAGACAGGCAAGGAGTAAATTTATTTTGAAGGATAGATATCAGTTAGAGAACAACTGGAAAACACCAGGGATTACTGGAAAGCTGTTTCTTTATAGTGCATGGGACTCCTCAGCAGTAGCAGCACTTCTAACCCCAAGACCTGATTATAATAAGGCGAGCTCATAGACCATTCAGCCACTGGAACCTGATCCAATTTATAATGATAGCGTGACTACTAGTCATTATCATCGATCATCATTATCACCCGACCTGATGTATTACTACTTCTGATGAAGAATATAAAGGACTTGAAGTTTTTGAGCTTTGAAGCTGCAATATCGGTAGTAAGCCTCATGCCCAACGTTCTCACTAAACCTGGCTTAACACTACAGGCTAAGTGAAGTTTAGGAGTGTCTTAGCAGCCGGGAGGTATCTAACGCGGACCATGTGAGAGTGGTTGGTAAGTATTCTCATGGATAGTTGTTGTCAAGCGAAGCATTGAAAAATGGATGATTTCCCTGTGGACACACTTATGCAAGTACCTTCACTTTATTTTCTATTTAGCCTATCTAGAATACTGAAGTACATAAGAGAAGGAGTTATTCGGTTTTCCGAGCATTCATACCGGAAATTTCAAGTGCATACTTAACATGCTTTTTCAGACAGGTACATAAACTTGTTAGTTATTTATTAACCTATGTGGTTCGTGCTTATGCCTCTGAATACAGCATTCCATGGTACAGGTTTGAATCTTCGAGAGCATATCCATTTCCATTTTGGTCGTAGACACATGCCTTGCTGGCGATTGCCAATTAGGACTAAATCTAAGTCCGGGGATTCGTGCTGATTACTTTCAACCACGTAACATCTAAGTAAACATCTGTGCAAAAGCCCAAGAGGATATATATATGTCTAGAATAGTCCAGATTTGAATAATAAATACTAGGATTCAGCCACTGGGGGTGGTGGGTTGTGGTTGGAGTTCATTCAATATCTCGTAAATTCTAACCTCTGTCAATTTGCTATGTAAAGCTACCGCCAACAAATGCCATCGATAAGCTTCCGTTTCAAACTAACACACAGTCAACCTAACCAATTAACCTACAACTCCTCATTAGAGCTTCAGAACATCCATCCTGTGGTCAAATAATAATGTGCTAGTGATTGATATTTGGATGATGACCTCGTTACCTGATGGATTTAGGTATGAATCCTGGTAGTGTCATGAGTGCCTATTGTACAGAGTACCAAACTAGGACGAAACTTTACAGCCAACATAGAAGGATTTGTAGGAATTTGATTTGCTTAAAGTTTGATCACCAAGTGATATTAGTTTGAGGACCCTAACCACTGTGCGTCGGTGGCACAGTGGTTAGGACTCTCGCCGACCATGCACATGGTCCGAGGTTCGATCCCCTGCCGACGCACACCCGATATCTATGGTCGGCCTGTAAAATTTGGGCTACCGATATCCATGCTTAAGATTCCATACTTGTACTGAAAATACGATGTGGCATCAAGCTGTAACTAAAATAAAAATTAAAAAAAATAAAAATAAAAAAAATCGAAAACCACCAGGGAGTACAGGACAGCTGTTTATTTGTAGGGATTTGATTAGCGCTTGAAAATCAATCAGATGTTAACCAGTGACTGGCTACAGAATGAATTTAGCTGGAGTTCTATGTAGTCAGAAGTCGTGGTCATGGGGTAGGGTGAAACCAGGTTGGGTGTGAAGATTTCACTCGCGTATCACACTGTCTGTTGTTCACTCCAGAATCACAAATTGGTAGAAGTTGAAAGTCGGGTTGACGAGTCGATCTAGTCCAAGTTGCTGAATTGTCCATGAGCTTGATTTGTAACCAGAAGTTATGCTGCATTTGAACCGCGTCAGATGCTTCCAGCTGAAGATTCACAAGCGTTAAGATGAAGCATATGACCAGTACTTCCTGATGGTTTTCAGTGGTTATTCATAGCGTATTTCTAACATTTGAACTAATATTCTGATTTTGGTTGTTTCATCCTAGTTTTAGACACTTCATCAGGGCTCACCTACGACTGCATACTCTAAAATCCCTGTGGAGACCCGAACATGTGTTTGAAACACGGAAAAAGATCCGGATTTTTAATACTAATATCAAGTTAGTCATTGCTTGCATATCTTTCGGAGACTTGGCTCACACATCATCAAAAATATTTCCAGCGGGCTACTACAGACTGTCGTCAACAGCTCTGTCAGGCTGTGAGTGAATCAGCCAACAACCTCCAATTTTTCAACAAATATACAGGGAAAATCTTCACAGGATAGAAACCCAATAGTCGCGGATGTACCTATAACCTAATTACAAGCAGTCATGCTAAAAGGCCTTGATATTTCCTTACCTTATCCTAACCAACCTTAATATCTCTTCAGCCTCACCGTAATCTGTCCCTGATCTAAGCCTAATCTCTCCGTAAACATGTTTACTATTCTTGCATCTCTCTTGAGCCTTTTTTCATTAAACGTCCCCAGTTGACCGATGCATTCGCGTCTGTTCGGTTTCTATTCTTTAACTCGACCTATACATAAAGGTGACATCATATGTCAGCCAGTCAAACCAGTGGAATCTGATTGAGAATCGATAAGGTGGGCGTTGACCTGAGTGGATCATGCTGGAGATTATATGAATAGGAAATGAGCGCGTGTCGGCAATCCTAAAGCTAGTTGAAAGTGATGACAGAAATATTCTACTGAAGTCCTTCCTGTACTGCGATAGGAACACATGGAATGAATAATACAATATCGACATGATTTGACGGTAAGGCCTGTTTCAGCTAATTCATTAGCAGCAATAAGAACTTGATAACTGCACTATTTACTATCGATGACAAGTTCTTGGAAAGTTTTAATTATAACTTGTGATTACTGATAGTGATTTAAAGTAGTATACTTAAACTGTCGTTCTTTTTTCGAGAAATGGTACTATGGAAGGCTTTAATCAGATGTGATAGAAAAGGTTTGTTGATCAGTTAAAGACGCTTTTGATTAATTTATGTCCTTTGGGCTGGATAGTTCAGTTTGTCTTTCTAAGTATCACTTCCAGTGCTGGATTCAATACGAAGTGAGCGTTTAGAATTCTTCAACGAGTTTATCAGTCGTATCTATCCTGTTAACCGTGGAAGTGATCGGTTATTTCTGGAGATTTTATTACCGTCTAATCCACTTGTATTGATTTTGATTACTTTGTTGACCTGAAAATTGACCTTTTGTCCACTTGACTTCACTTTTATTGGTCGAAATATCTGATCTATATCAGTATGTCTGTTGATTTTAGATTGATAAGCATAACAAGCTTCTAGGAATTCGATGACATGGATGAGAAGACGAAGTGGACGTACACTTTGAGAAATATAATATTTTCTACAATTTTCTGCAATTTATCTTGTAGACGATATCGGTTTTGTCTTCTTTTGTCACTGAATGTCTCCCAGTTGACATGGTTAGGACTGAAACAGTTTTTTTAGTTTGTATATGACAAGCTACTTTTGAACATATAAGTTCAGTTTCCTAATGTGAATTCTGCTGACAGCTTTAGCCATATGTATCAGACGAACTAGTAAGGTAAAGTTAAATTTATTGATATAAGTATAAAACTTGGGCACTTTTGTAGAGTATAACTCCATTATGGATAAGATTTTATTTTGATAAATCACACAGTGTAACACAGTAATGTTAACTGATGACGTTTCGAGCACAAATTATTACTGCTCATAATCATATCAAGTTACTCACACATTAATATTATATTATTATTATTTCCTTTATTCCTAGAGGAACATAGGGTTTCAGCCGTGCGTCTCCATTGCGTTCAGTTCCCTGCCAACGTTTTCAGCTGGCTCCTAGTCTACCCACACCTTTTCATCTCCTCTTCACATGACCTCCTCCAAGTCACCCTTGCACTGATGACCAACTCGCCGCTTCCCTTTCGGGTTCCACTCGAGGGCTTGTCTAATGATGTCACTTGATGGTTGCCCCAGAGTATGGCCAATCCATCTCCGTTTCTTCCTG